AGTGTATTAGTTTGGCGGGGGTGGGGATGGGGAGTGGGGGGAAAGCTTGGAAGGTAATTCAAAAATAAGTATATTAACCATAAACAACTTCCCCCTTTGCAAACAATTGCTGTTTAAACCTTCCATTTTGCTCCTGAATTTCAGTATCAGAATCTTGAAAGTGTCCAGGCAGAGGTGCACAACCTGTTTGTTTCCAAGGGGTTCTATATTTACAGGGGATGAATGTGTGTGCGTGGAGGGGAGGGGAATGCACATGAGAAAAATCTTTACTAGGTAACTCAGAAAAGCAGAAGACATCCTGTTTCCCTCACTTTCTCTTTCTTGTAATTTGTCTGGAATCAAGTTAGTTGAGAATGATTAGTGCCACCAGGTAACAGTGCATGAGCCCACCTGCTCTTGGGTCTTCCTCAAGTAGAGTTGCAATGCTTGCGATCCTGCCTTAGTTCCATCACTCCTGCAAATATGACCAGGCTGCTGTGAGTGTGTCCTTCCTTGGCACTTGTCTCTGCATCCTCTCTCCATCCTCCATAGTTGCCATACTACTACTACTACTAATAATTTATTAAACTTGTATGCCCCCCAACTCTCAATTACTCTGGGCGGCCCCAACAATCAAAGTATCAAACAAATATTTTAACAAAAGGCTGTATCCCCCGAAATGTAACAAGCCCTCCACCCCATCCCAGCCCTTTCCATCACATCTCTGTCTTGGAGTCACAATAATGAATTGTGGGGCATCACATATGGCCAACAGGTTTCAGGTCACCCAGCTGTGGCAGAGGGGTAGCAGATAGGAAATTCATGGATCATCTGAGATTACGACAAAGGCGTTTGTAACTCATCCTTTTAGCCATTAGTTATGCTCTATATTAAAACTGAGCTCAGGAATATTCTTTCTTTCACACTTTCTTTCACACTTACCAAGGGCTTTCTCTCTCTCTCCCCTGCCTCCCAATATCACTGTTCTGTTCAGTTGCTGTGAAAAATAATTGTTCAGCAAAGGAAGAAGCTCAAAGTTCTGAGTGCAGAATTCAAGGGAGGATGGCAGGAACAATAAACCTAAATTTGTAACTAATCAAGCAATGACACCCATCTTAAACGGTATTAATAAATATTATATATACTAAGTATACATTCATATATATATATATATACATATATATATACATACACACACACACACACACACACACACACACACTTTACCTACATACATAAACATATATAGTTTGATCAAGTGATAACTTAATGACTGTTCTGTTAAATTTGGCAATAAGGTTGTTTCTTGGAAAATACTAGTAGCTAAAAGACGTTCCTTCAAGTGATAGTAACTACTGGACATGACTACATTAGGGATGAGATTTGTGCTCTGTTTGTTGAGGTAAGACTGTAAAGTTGAAGTGTTGCGTTGAAGGACCAAAGAGAGGGGAAAGGTTTACATCTAGCTGAAGCGGGCTCCAAAGACATACTGTCAGATTAAATGCTTTAAAGGTGGATCCTGTTAGTTCCATTTGCAAGCATTCTAGGCTTCTCATGATATAGGTGGGCAGACCATAGGTAAATAGAACAGGAGAGCTACAGACTTCAGACTAATTCCAAAGGTCCTGCAAAAGATTACTGGACAAAGCAGCTCACCAGCTAGGACCAGGAGTGGACCAAAGAGGAATGGGGAACTGGAGGGAGAGGGAGGGAGGGAAGGAAGAAGGAGGGGTAGCTTGATTAATTTTGGCACTGGGCCCCAACAGATTACTTTACCTTTGATAGAAGAAAGTTTCTTAACTATGACTGGCTGGATGACTGCGCACATAAACTATGGTGAGCTTCACTGGCTTTTCTCACCAGCCAGCTGATCAGCCTGATAATTAGTCGGGGGGGGGGGGGGGGATATCTGGTTTCCCATTTATAATTGCAGTAGGAAACAATAAATTGCTAGGGGAAGAAGTAAGCCTCATTATCTCCTGGTGACCATTAGCAGAGAAATCAGTTATCTTGGACAGAACTGTTCAAAGGAATAGACTTCCCACCCTCCCAGTGACCCTGTTTAAATCTGTGCTTTTTTTCTAGTGAGAAACCATCCAACTGCAAGTGTGTAATTGAGAATGTTGGGGTGATGAAGAAAGTGCTCAAGGAACATGATGTTCTGTATTTGTGTGCATATCACAATGCCCCTTTCATCCCATATCCCTCTTGTCCCCACTAGAGATGCCCAGGAACCCTGCCCTACACTCCCCAGATTTTAACCACTGTCACTTGTCAAAAGGTAGGCACTGTCTATCTTTCAGATTAGAATTCCAACAAACATCTTCCCAGGGGTGGGGGCTGGGGAGGGGCAGGGTCAAAAAAGGCAGTACTGTATTATCAAAGCACCCTCTCCTTTGTGCATGTGTCAGGCATGGACACATGCACAGAACAGGTGGATCTTCTTGCTTTTTTTGGCTCCCTGCAGATGCTGGTGCCAGGCATACTTAATAAACTAATCCTATTATTCCCTGTACAAAGGGAAAGGCAGTAATGAAAACAATGTTTAATCTATAATGAGAGAGAGAGAGATCTGAATGCTGAATACACTGAATTCTAGATTTTACTGCTGGATAAGCCTTGTTTTAGCAGACTACTCTGAGTTCTACATTTAAGGTTCCCCTTTGAGAACAAGGCAACATATCCTTGCCACCCTCAATATCTGCTGGAAAAAGTTGTATTTTACGTTAACATTAAATAAAAACAGAGCTGCCTAACCTCACTTAAAGTTAGTTTGAGTTGCTAAGCGACATAACATCAGAGGAATTTCAAGAAAAATAAAAGTTTGAAAGAACTGCTGAAGTATCTCAGGGGAAAATGTTCATTGTTTCCAACGCTAGCCCTGCTTTTAGGCAAAACAAGGGAACTGCTTCAGGCACCAGATGCTCAAGAGTTGCCCTAAGATGCTGGAGGACAAACCTGCGCGATGCATCCCACAAAGTGAGTCTGCCATCTTCAGATGGAGGATGTTGCCTAATTGTCAGTGTCGAAAAGAGACATAGCTGCTACTTTAAGTTAATTTTGCACACGCACAGCAAAGGGCATCATCTTGTCCTTTGCCCCAGGCAGCGAATGTCTCAGATCAACTCTGATTACATTCATTTTTGCCAAGCAGAAAGTGCAATTGCATTCTCTTTCTGGTGAAATTGTATACTTCTCATTTGGGACTGCAGAGATTGTTAAAAAAAAAAAAAAAAAAAACCTTGGAAATGGGGAGCAAGGCTGCTAAGACCTGGAATAGAGATGCTAGCATGGTTTGCCCATAACAAAACTTTAGAGCAAGTTTAAACTGCATGAATGATGAATCAGGGAAAAAAATACTGAGAAGAATAAAAAAGAGTTCTGAAAAAAAGGAATGTGATTCCTCAAGTGAAGTGCCGGGAGGGAGACTGCATATTCCTGATTGTACCGCAAAGGAGGGAACTGTTACTTGAAGCAATTCGCACATGATATGATGAAACAACTTTTGTGAACTGTGCTGGCAGACCTTCCTGTGCTCTTGCACAGCTCCTCCGTATGGAATCGGGGTTACGCGGAAAAACCTCCTTGTGGGTTAAGTAGATTTTACCTTTACATTTCTCAAGCACCAATAAAAAAACACCATTGCATTTACTCGCATTTAAATACCAGAAATCAGCACGTTTTCCCACGACCTGCAAAGCAGGGCTCTAAATCCGGTCATGTCTCGGAAGTTAGAAACCAGTAAATTAAATATTAAATTGGAATAGGATTCGATGTCAGAGCCACTAGGTGTTCTTTGCAATCCAATACAACATACAATTTAAGTCGACCCGTCGCTAGGGGTGGGGGATGGATCGTAACTCCTAGACTGAGTATTACTGAGGAGCAAAACAGGTGAACTTGCTGCTCCTCTGTGAATTGATTATAGTTTGAACAGCAGCCCTGGGGATCAAAACAAACAGGAGAATCACCCTGTCCACGTGCAGTTCGTGGCTGACGTATTAATCTGCATTTTTACCCCTCCGTAGCGCGGTAACCCTGCGCACACCTTCCGTGGAGCCAGCGCCCCTAAACACAAGAAAGCAGAAGGATGCGGGACGCTTTGGATCCGAAGCCGGACAAGTGGCTCGCAGCCGGCAGGAGCGCGCTATCGACGCCTCTTGAACGCGTTTTCCTGTGAGAACCCAGGAAAAGACGCAGCTCCTTTAAAGAGGCGCAGACAAAAGCAGAGCGCGCACCCTCCCGCCCTGAGCGCCTCTTCAGCTTCGGATCCGAAACGCTGCATAAAACTACGCGGTGAAGGAATGAACGACCATCTCTGCGGGTCTGATTTGGTTCCCTGGCGAATCTTGTTCAACACCGTTGCGCACCAAACCACCTCTATTCCCCACGACCCGTTCCAGAAGTAGCCGTTTCTCGTTATTGCAAACTATTGGCGTACACGACAAGGGCTCCGGGCGCAGTCTATAACTGTAGGGACGCTAAATCGCCTTGCTCTGGGAAGGCATCTTTGGAAGAAAACGGGCTCAGGCGGCCAGCTTCGCTCTAATGCCAGGGGTAGAAGGGCCCCTCCTCCCTCGGTAAAGAATGCGTAAGATAAGAGCCAATAGGTCGGGAGTCTCATTTGCATATTTCGCTTCACGCACTTAAGGCGCGGTAGAGACGAGGCGAGCGCGGAGTTGGCGTCTCCCTGTTCTTCCCGCAGAGGCTCTCGCCCTTTCTCAGTTTCCTTGTCCGCTAAACTTTTGGAAACTTTTCTTCCTCCTTCTTTTGCACGGGCGCTCCCACCCCTTTGCACTGCCTTGTTTCGGTCCGGGTACTGGCCACGTTTCGAGCCATGTGTAGAACAGCGCTCCTGGCAGCCCTCTATATCTGGAGCTACTGCCTCGTCGCGCTGTGCGGAAAGTCGGCTAGCCAGAACATCTCGGTCTCAAGTAAGTCCGGCCCCGCTCGGGCCCCGAGAGTAGCCCGTCTCCCTTGGAGGAAAGACTGCGCGGCTGGGGCTCGCCGTGGAGAACGGAGCCGAGCTAAGGAAGGAGAAACGCGAGGCAGGAGAAACGGGCAGCGCGAGGCCCTGGGGGAAGGGAAACTGAGGGAGGCATCCAACAAACGGAGAGCTTAGCAGGCAGAAATGGGCACCAGGGCGGGAAATTGGGAGGGAGCGGGGCTCCCGACAGCCGAGTCCCGTGCAAGACTGCTTGGATGCGAGCCCCGCGGACTTCGGAGACAGCTTGTTTCGAGGCACTCGTTCTAGGAAGGGGGCGCGGAAGGCTGTATCCGCGGCGCTGCAGCGGCTGGTCCCCAGAGAAGCAAGCCTGTGTAAAAGGACGAAGCTGGTCGTGCCCCTGAAAGCTACTAGCAGCCAGGTGTCGTGTCAGCCTTACTGGCAGGGACTGAAGGGCGACCTGGCTTCCTGACTCTTTGCCTCGGGCTGCAGCGAGCGAGATGTCCTACCGAGGTTGGCGGGGGAGCAGACAGAGGGCGAGCGCGCGAACAGTTCAGGTGGATTGTATCAGTCAGGTTGCTCTCTTAAGGGGGCGTGGCTGAATGGGACCACCAGAGGTGGGGAGGACGGCCTAAATTCGGAGGGCGGGTGAGGGGCGTGGTCTCGTCAGCGTTCCCCAACGTGGCGTCTCCAGGAGGTTGCGTTGAAAGGGCCCTTATTGTCTCCAACCCGTGAGCGTTTGAGCATTGATTATGCGTCTTGCAGCTTCCCCACATCTTTAGTTTTGTTCATCCTGTTGCTTGAAAAATGTTGCAGCTCCAGAACTTGCGCATTGCCCCTCGGGTGGCTCACAGCTCACGAAAGCTGAAGCTCAGCGGCCGCTTGAAAGGGACGGTACATAGTTTGGAAAGCGGGAAGCCCGCCGAGAGGTGTTTGGGCCGTTTGGCGGGCGGGCGCTTTCGCGCGCGTTTAGTTTGAGAAGCACCGGGAAGGTGAGAAGGGAGGTGGGTGTAGCCCGCGGCGCGTGCTTGGAAGGAAGCGGCGCTTCCTGCCGTGTTGGATTGCCCGCCCGGGGTTCCGGCCTCTTCCCGCATTTAGTCCCGTGGCATCAGGAGAGGCCAGAACGGCTCCGCCAGCGCGCTCGCTGGAATGGAGGAGGGCGGGGAAGGGGCCCTCCGAAAGCTCTGCTCTTGCTGGTGACCGCTAGTAACTCCTCCGCTTAGGAGCCGGCGCAGGAATGCCTGGAACGTGGGCCAAGGTCACCCTGGTTCAGGGGCTGCCGCGAGCCGGTGGGGGGGAGCCAGAGCCGGCCGAGGGCGCTTCGTTTCCTTCATGGCCAGAAAAGTCTGGCTGGGGCGCGTGGCGCCCTGGAGGATGAAAGCCCCGGGCGCGGAAGGAGGCTGTCCAGGAAAATCTGCGTCTGAGGCAGGCAGCGGGAAAGGGAGCCGCGGGAGCGGTTTCCCCGGATGGGCTGTCCTGGCGGGCGCAAAAATAAGCCGCTGGGAGTCGGACTTCATTTACTCGAGCAGTGACATACACGCCCGCAGTGGAAGCGAGAGAGGAAAGGTCGTGCGAAAACTTTGACTTGTACCTTGGGAAGAGCAGCAGTGGCCGTTTCCCCAGGCAAATATTCTGAAGGGTGTTACATTAATCAAGTGGTTTTCCAGTTGTCCCTGTTTACCAAGCACAGCATTTTTTTTTTTTTATGCATGCCGAACTAATCGTTTCCATCGCTTTCTCCTTATTTGCCCTTTGGAAAGAATTTTGTGGGTTTTTTCTTTTTGGTTTAGTTGCAAAATTATCTCCTTTCTCCCTCTCTTGCCAGTAAAATTTCTTGATGTTAGCCACAGTAAGCATAGAAATATACTGGAGGGGACGTGCAGATGTATTAACCTAGTTCAAGATTAAGGTGAGATGTATAACTTCACAGTTCCTAAAACGTGATAGATGGTTGCCCTTTGGCTAAAAGGGTAGTAGAAAAAGTAATACTTATTTAACAAAGCATAAAACAGTGAACTGCAAAACAAATTCATACAGAAAATAGGCAATATGGAAGAATGGGACACAGGCGCCCCTATGCTCATTGGAGAGGAAATAGGTCCTTAAGCACCAGAACATTTTCTCACTAATTCATTTCTAAGAATCCATACAAGTTTACACTCACATTTCAGTCTTCTCATGTTTCCTAATTCCATATGTTGCTGATTTTTGCCATTTTTAAGCTTACATTGCAATACTGGTATAATTCTTTTATGCATGAACTGATTGGACTGGTATTGTTTCCTCGCTTCACCTGTCTCCAAGAAATTATCTGCAGCATTACTGGTAATTTGTGCAATCTTACTCCTTCACAAAAAAGCAGTGTGTGAATTTTAACTTAAAAAAAAAAGCAGCTGATTTTGCCCTCTGAATGCAGCAGCCTGAGAAGTATATTGAAAGAGATGTAGTTGTCAAATTATTCAGAGTTTGGGAGCCTTCTGCAGTGGTGCATGGAAAAAGTTGCCTTATGGAAGGGTGTTGTGAAACATTGATGTCTCCATCCTCTCCTCCCCAGAAGTCCAAAGAAATCTGTTAAGTTTCACAGGTGTTTCAGAACTTGTGGAGAAGCTGAGGGCTATTATCAGTGGGGTGAGGATATGATACTTACTCCCTTGTGGGTGGAGATGGCGTAGGGACTGGACCTATCACCATTACATAGTGCTAGTAGAAAGAAACCATCCTTCTGTTGTTACCTGGAATTATCTGTCATCACCTTAGTTATCTCTTAGTGAATCATTATTAGCATTCAGTTAAGTTAAGAACCATATTTAGTATGATTGATTATGTGCCATCCAGGATTATATGTCCCGAGCTTGGTCCTTCAGGTCTTCCAACAGTGCACCCATCACCCCTATAACTATCAACAATCTACCTTGCTGCTGGTCATCCTCTTCCACCTTTCCCTAGCCTTCTCTAGAGAACTAGGTCTTCAGATATTGTGTCTGAAGTAGAACAATTTGAGCCTGGCCATTTGTGCCTTGAGTGACAACTCTGGGTTGATTTGTTTGATGATACAATTGTTTGTTCTCTTGGCTGTCCATGGTATTCTCAGGAACCCTCTCCAACTTCAAAAGTGTCAATACTCAGAAATGTCAATACTGATCCTATCCCTGCTTCTTCAAAGACCAACTTTTGCTTTTTTAGAGGGTCACAGAGAATACCATTTTTTTCACTATTCTGATCTTTGCAGGTATGGACACATCACAGCATTTGAATATCATTTCCAAGGCCTTCATGGCTGTTCTACCAAGCGCTATTCTGCCGTGCATTTCTTTATTGCTTGTTCTGTACAATTGGTGGTTTATCCTTAAGGCCGAAGCTCTCTACCACTTAAATATCTTCATTGTCTAAGGCTGGTTGTTGTACCTGTTGTCATTAGTTTGGTATTTATATTAATTTTTGTCCAGTTTTTTCACTGTGCCCCTTGACTTTTTTTTTACTAGAGCTTGTAGATTATTTGCATTTTTGGCTATCAGAGTAGTATCATCAGGATAGCTCAGGTTATAGATGTTTCCTCCTCCATTTTTAAAACCACGCTCATATCCAAGCTTAATCCAGCTTCCCTTAATATATACTCAGCATATAGGTTGAATAAGTAAGGGAAGAGTATACAGCCTTGTCTCATTCCTTTGCCAACCTGAAGCCAGTCTATTTCATCATGTTCTGTCTGTACTGTGGCTTCCTGACTTGTATATAGTTCTCGCATAAGGACAATGTGTTGCTCTGGGATTTCCATTTTTCTAAACATATTCCACAGTTTTAATGATTCCCATTAAAGATTGATTATCTATTAACAAACATTTTAATCATTTACATTGACATAGTTTATGTAGTGTCCAGATCTGTCTCTGTGGTCGCGTATGCAAAATGGTTGGGTTCCTTTATTCTTAACAGATGCATGAGAAGTCAAAGTGCAGCAAGTTTAGTTTTCTTTCTAACTGCATGTCCATACCAGAAAATGTCGCACTACTTTCTTCCGGTCATCTTAAATCTTCAAAGATACAGGTCTGAAAAGATACCAGGCTCAAAATAGGAGGATTAAATGTTAGTGTAAAAATAATACAGTACACAAAAGCTAGAACAGTAGCAGTCTTCCAAGGAGCACTTCGCTTTGAAAATGTTTTGAAAGAAATACCTCTTCAAAATGCATAATTAAACTGCCATAATCTCTCACTTCTGATCAGTGGAGTGGAACATCCCCAGGGCCTCACCTCCCAAGTGATCAAGCAGTTCAGTCTTGACGATTTGTGGAGCCACAATACCTTGCAACTGCTTGTCAGTTTGCACATCGGGGCAGAGTAATACACTTCTGGAGGGGGGGCATTGATATGAATCAGTTGCAGTTCACACAAGACTAATAAAAGTTTTTGCATAAAAATACGTAAATAGTAAACATGCTAATATAGTATAGGAGAAAATGAAAAAGTGGGATATAAAATTTATAATTCATAATCATAATATTTTGATTAGCTGATAATGGATTTTGATTGATTCTCTGGTTTGAATATATTGCAGAGGAAGAATGGTACAAGTGCAAAGTTTGTGAAGATTAGCTAGTTAAGGCTGCAATCTTATACAATTAATTTAAGCTCCATTGATTTCCCAGTGCCTGGAGGCTGTGGAGGCCTGGATGGAGAAGAACAGGTTTTGACTCAATCCTAGCAATGCTAAGTGACTGTGGGTTTAGGCCTGCCCTGGATCTGGAGAACTGGACTCTGGATTACTGCTTGAAGAGCAGGTGGTGGCCAAGAAGCCTTTGTACAAATCTATTTTGCACACCAATTACAGTACACCCATTCCTGGATTGAGAGGCTCTGCTCATGGTCATGCATGCCTTCTTCACCTCCTGGTTGGACTGTTGCAATGCACTTTACATGGACTGCCCTTGAAAAACATCCAGAATCTCTAACTGATCCAAAATGTAGCAGCACATGCAATTCTCTGCACACC